GGTCACAAAGGGCGACAGCGGGGCCACTGAGGGCAGCAAAGGGGCCACGAAGGGCAGCGAGGGGTCCACAAAGGGCGACAGCGGGGCCACGAAGGGCATGCATATGAGGCCACGACGGGCGCGAGCGAGCGGGGGCCACGACGGGCATTCGTATACGGGGCCACAAAGGGCGACAGCGGGGCCACTGAGGGCAGCAAAGGGGCCACGACGGGCAGCGAGGGGTCCACGAAGGGCGACAGCGGGGCTACGAAGGTCATGCGTATGGGGCCACGACGGGCGCGTGCGAGCGGGGGCCACAATGGGCATATAATGCGGGGCCACGTAGGGCAGCGACGGAGCCACTGAGGGCAGCAACGGGGCCACGCAGCGAGCGAAGGCGACCGCGGAGCCAGAACGGGCAGCGAGGGGCATCGAAGGCGGGCGAAGGGCAGCGAGCGGCCAGTCATTAACGGGCTGGTCGGGCGGGCAGGCCCCGACGGGCGGGTCGAGCGGGCGGGTCGTTAAAGCGTGAGTCTGCTTGAACCGCCAGGCAATGTGTAGCGGGAGCGCGATCCTGAATGTCGAGGACCGGCATCTGAATACATTGTGCAGAAATATCGAGCGAAGCGTATCGGTGGTAAGTTGCGAGGAGGTCCCCAGCGAGAGCGCGATTCTGCAATACATTGTCAAGAAGTGTCAAGCGGGAGCCGCGATTCGGTGGCAAATTGCCAGGAAGTTCAAAGCGAGAGCGCGATTCGTCGACTAATTGTGAGGAAGTATCAGGCGGGAACCGCTGTTGTTGTTGTTGTTGATGTAAACCGGGGGCCATCGACACAGTCTGAGCTTCAAGATTTTCCCTGGTTAAGAAAGGGTGCGAGCTCCGGGAGGGGCATTTCAATAGAAACATTAATGTGCACCGGGCGGGGGGGGGGGGCAACAATAAGTATTCTTCAGAAACCAGAGCTCAACACCAACAACAACAGCAAAACCAAGCAAACAAACAAACAACCAAACAAACAAACAAACAAACACAGCAACAGCAACAACAGCACCAGCAACAGCAAAACACCAAACAAACAGCAACGCCAAGAACAACAACCAACCAATCGATACGTATATCCGCCCTCGTCGTCTTCGATCGTACCCCGTTGGGGGTACATCTTCCTGACCTGCCACGCGCATTCGCTGCAGCAGCATAACTCAAGGGAAGGGCAGACGGGTGGAAGGGGGAGGGGCAAAACATGGAGCACAAGAACAATTCCATTAGCAGGAGGGGGGCAAGGCGCAGAAAACAAGTGGTATAACCAGACGGGCGGACCGGGTGGGCAGACCCATAGCGAGCAGCGGGAAGGCGGGCCCAGGCGACCAGGTCGAGCAGGCGGGTTGCTGAAGCGTGGGTCCTTCATGAATCGCGAGGAAGTCTCGAGCGATAGCGTGATCCCCAAGTAAATCGTGAGAAAAGCCAAAGCGAGACCGTGGTTCCTGAGCGCCGAGGGCGCATCGTCTGAATAAATGTATGGAGGGAGTCCCACGCGACAGCGCGATTCGTATACACATTGTGAGGAAGTCCCGCGCGAGAGCGCGACTTGGGAATCAATTGTCAGGACATGTCAGGCGGCAGCCGCTGCTGTTATGAACCAGGGGCCAACAGAGTGTGAGCTCCGTGACTTTCCGTAAGTGAAACCAGGGTGCGAGCCCCGGGGGAAGCACGTCAATTGAAACATACAATGGCCACAAAAGGGGGATCAACAATATTGATTCTTCACTAGTGATAGTTTAACAACAATAACAGTAACAGCAAGAGCAACAACAGGGCGTTTCGCTTTAGCCTTTCTTACAGCGTATGATACTGAAGCTTACACATGTACAACCAGTTCGCATCTTCGCAGATGGAGGGCGGGCGGTTTTCAAAACTGTTGCTCTCGCTTTAGCGCCGCGCACATTCGTCTGAAGCGTTGCAAGAGCTGAAACATCGAGGGCGGATAGTTTTAACAATGGGGCGTTCGTTCCAGCGCCGCGCGCACTCTTTTTGAACTTTTGTAAAAACTGCACGGATTGAGGGCAGGCGGGGTGTTTTCAGAATTTGGTTCTCGCGCTTGCGCCGCGCACGCGCGTCTTCAATATTCGCCAGATTTTCACATTTTGAATGCGATCTCTTTTCAAAACGTGGTTTTCGCTTTAGCGACGCGCACATTCGCTTTTTCAAATTTGCAAGAGTTTCACGGGTTCACCGGGTGAGCATACCAGAAATGACGCCGTGGAACGATTGGATATTGCAACGCACGGTGCAACAGTTCGGTGGATTCGCGATGTTGAAGTCCTAGGAAAGGTGCTTTGGCGCGCTTCAGTATCTTCACACAGTTGTCGCCCAACGGAGCCCTTCCACCACTGGGAATGAGTCCTTGTAGGGGCTTAGAGGTTGACGCCAACACCAGTATCAACGGTGTATTTCCACCGAAGGAAGGTTATCCCGATCTCGGCGATGGTGGTGATACTCGGGGTTTCCAGGTGGCTGAAAGAATGCCACCAACACCAAAGTCTAGGATTATCATATCCCAGTGGGCGCACCCTCCTGTTGCCATGTTGGATGTAATTTCAAAGCCTCCAGCACCTTTTGTGCACCCCAGGGGCCCTAAAGTGGTCCTCGGAGCCCAAAGGGGACACGAAAGGTGCACGCTTCTTCGCCCCCCATTAGGCAACGCCCAAGGCAGCGGCAGCCACGACGGTCCTCCCTGCATCGTCGCGCGGCTGGCAGCGCGGGGGCCCAGCCCTGCTCCTGCTGCGTGGCGTGCGTGGTGCCCTGGGGCAGCCGAATTCTCGTCGCTGGCGGCGCGGTGCGTCGCGCAGCTCCCAGTCGAGTTGGGCGCCACCTGCTGGCGCCTGCGGCTGCGCTGGTCGCCTGTGCTGGCTCGTCAGAACAGCAGCGGCGGAGCCAACTCTACCGAGGCCCGCGAGAAGTTGACCCGGCCAGCAGCCAGGACGCCCATCAAAGTTTCTAAGGGGCCGCACTGCCAGCAACCACGTGCCGCGCGACGCGGCAGGTGCCGAGGCGGCCGCCCTGGAGCGTCGGTACACCGGGGCCCCCGCTCCGAACCGAGATCGGGAGGATGAGCGAAGGCACCGCGTCGCTGGAGATGCCCGCGCAGATCAATGTCTCGAAGTTGCGCGTCCTGCCCCTCCCCATCCCTCTCCACATCCTCCCAATCGTCCCCCGCCTCATCACAATGTTCCTTCTTCCCCCTCCTCCTCCTCCTCCCCGCCCCTCCTCCTCCTCCTCCTCCTCCTCCTCCTCCTCCTCCTCCTCCTCCTCCTCCTCCTCCTCCTTCTCTCCCTCCCCCTCCTCCTCCTCCTCCTCCTCCTCCTTCTCCTCCTCCTCCTCCTGCTTCCTCCCCCTCCCCCTCCTCCTCCTCCTCCTCCTTTCAATCCTCCCTTCCCTTTCTCTTTACCACGCACCTGTGCCACGGTCGTTCCTAGGGGGCCCGATGGTGCAGAGGACTTCGCTCATCCGTGGCCGTGGCGTGAGAGCACTAGCGCCTGCGAAATCATCTTCGTCCCCGTGGAAGCACGTATTCGCGAAGCGCGATCTGTGACTTGACGTGACGGCCCCCCTCCTCCCGAACAACACCAGACTCGACGTGCTGGTTCCCCATCCTCCCCTTCCTCTTTCTCCCGCCTGAGGCACAATTACGATTGTCTCTATACAATCGTTATGAGAGGCTGCACGGTGCGTGCAACCCCCACCTCGGACCTTGAACGCGCGAGGAGACTGTGTGAGGTTTCAGCTTCGAGCTAATCCGACGGCTTGGCGCTAGCTGCAGGTCAGACGGAGACCACACGGAAGGCGAGTCTTCTTCTTGTTTGCTCTTCTTCCTCCTTCTCCCGCTCCTTCCTCCTCGCGAGCGGTCTCTCGACGTTCGCGCCCGGGGAGGCGCTGCGAGGAGAGCCCGGGCCAGCGGTGGAGTGTAGCGGGCGCTCCGAGAGGAACTCGCGAAGCCCCCTCCCCAAAGCGGCGCTCGCCGAGGCGAGGTCGCCCTCTTGTAGCCCTGCTGCACCCGAGGCACGTCCTCAGGGCGTGCTCGCCCTGTCTGCTGCGACAGGCGTGGTCTCGGCTCTGCGACGTCTTGGCCCAAGGCCCTTCCTTTTGGGCGAGACGGACCTCGCCCGGGGGCCTTGCGTGCAGTCGGTGCTAACGGCGCCGGCAGCTCGAACAAGGTGGTTGTGGGAGCCATTTGGAGTGCGAATGTCAAGCAATCCTCCTCCTCCTCACCCTCCTCCCCCTCCTCCTCCTCCGCCTCCTCCGCCTCCTCCGCCTCCTCCGCCTCCTCCTCCTCCTCCTCCTCCTCGTCCTCCGCCTCGTCATCCTTCTTTTCCTCCTCCTCTTCCTCCTCCCCCTCCTCCTCCTCCCCCTCCTCCCCCTCCTCCTCCGCCTCCTCCTTCTCCTCTTTCTCCTCCTCCACCTCGGGCTGGAACTTTCGGTTTCCAGCTCGGGGTGGTCTCGCGTCGCCGGGCTCAGCTCGGCCCCCCTTCGGGAGCAGCAGAAGGCCCCCCAAAAGGCTTCTCTCTCTTCTGCCTTGCTGCTGACATTTCGCCTCGTCTCCCTCGCCCTTCTATCTTTCCGTCCTCCCCCTCGTCGTCGTCGCTGTCGTCGCTGTCGTCGTCGGCGTCGGCGTCGGCGTCGTCGTCGTCTCCGTCGTCGTTCTCGTCGTCGTCGTCGTCGGCGTCGTCGTTTGTGAACGCGCCGCACTGGACAACTCAGCGGTCAGTTGCACAGCAAGCGATGGAGCGACTGCCAGGGACGTATTACGGTTTCTGCCTGACGCCCCGATGTTTCACATTACAGCCGATCGTCATTTCACCACTCTGCCAGTGCGCTTGTGCACGGCATCCTTGCTGTCGATGCGCGGTCGAGGCGTCTGGTTTCTCGCTCTCACTCTCTCTCTCTCTCTCTGTCTCGCCTCTGGGACCTGGGGCGGCGGGGCACGGCAGGGAGGCCTCGCCTCGCCCGGGCCCGCCGCGGGCAGGTGAGCCCGATGCTCGGCCTGGCCTTCTGCGCGTACATCGCCTTCGCGATCCTGGCTCTGATGAATGTGGTCGTGCGCTCCGACCTCCGAAACGTTGAATCGCACAGTGCGAAAGCTTGAATCGTGGGAGTTGCCGCTCTCGCCTTGGATCGATTCCAGAGACGGCGAACGGCGCCCAACAGCGCTCGATAGCGCCAAGGAGCGCCCGAGAGCGCTGAGTAGCGGCGAGTGGCGTTCAGCTAGCGCCCAATAGCACCAATAGCGCCTAAAAGCGCCATGTGAGGGAGATGTATGATGTCCATTTTGCACTCGATGGGGCGCGCTATTGGGCGCCATAGGGGAGGCCAAACGCTTCTGTGAGTTGTTTTCTCACTGAAGCTTTTCGCCGCTTTCAGCCTCCAGGGCCGTCGCGGGGACCCGGGACTCAACAACTGCTGATAGCAATATATGCGTTGTGGGTAGTCGAAGAAGCCCGTATCGAAAAATCCATACATGTGGTGCTTGGGAAAGTTCGGGTGGTGGGTTGAATTGTTCAATCTCGGTGTTGCTTCCCCTAGTGTCGTCCTCTGGGGGCTGCCTTCGGGACCAGGGGCATTACATATTGGATCCTTGACGAGGCGGCGCCCCTGGGGAAGAGGTAGCGAGATCTGGGAATCCAGCGGATTGGCAAACACGATGCGTCGGATGTGTGAGCAGTCTCGCCTCGTGATTCGTCTCCTTCCCATCATCGTCCTTTCATTGTCCTTTCCTTCCTTACCTGTGACCTCCTTCCTCCTCCTTCCTCGGCATCGCTTGGACGTGTGTGTTTTTTTCCTCGGCGAGGGCCCTCGAGGAGAATCTCGGATCCTCGTGCGAGCAACGAGCGCACGAAACCGAAGAATGCACGGGGAATGGACTCCCGAGCGAGGGCGAGCTCCTCCCCCCCCAGAAGATACCACGCCCACCCATGTGACCTCGCTCACGTTGTGCTTTCCCCCCCCAGAATCGAAGAAGAACAAGCTGCATTAACATAAACCTTTGGCGCTCCGCGCGGGTTTCTTCGATCCGCGCTGGGCCCCCCCCCAGCGGCGCCGCGCGCCAGGGGGGGGGGGTCCAGCGAAGATCCAAGACATCCGCGCGGAGCGCCAAAGGTTTATGCTTATGCCGTTTTGTGTGCGGGTCTCACAAACCAAAAAAAACGCCCCCCACCCGCGTATTCTCGTGCTCTTGCCGTCCTCCCCGGTGGCTGCGTCTACCCCGCTCCCCCTTGCTCGCCCGTCCGCCTAGAAGGGCCCATGCCGCTGCCGCTCCCCGCCATGCCCCGGGGCGCCAGCCAATATCATCACCACCAATGGTATCAGGAGGAGGAGGAGGAGGAGGGCGAGGGCGAGGAGGAGGAGGACGACGAGGAGGAAGAATAACGATAAGAGGAGGAGGAGGAGGAGGAGGAGGAGGAAGAGGAGAAAGAAGAGGAGGGGAAGGAGGAGGAGAAAGAAGAGAAAGAAGAGTAGGGGGAGGAGGAGAAAGAAGAGGAGGGGGAGGAGGAGGAGGAGGAGGGAGAGGACGGGGAAGGAAAGAAGGGGGAGGAGGACCACCACCACCACCACCACCACCACCACCACCACCACCACCACCACCACCACCACCAACAACAACAACAACAACAACAACCAATATCGCCTCGGAGGGGCGCCTGGCCAGGTCCATCCTGGGCCCTGGGCTGGTGTATCTTGGCATCGTTCGGGCGTGTGTTTTTTGGGGGCAAGGACCATCGAGACGCATTATGGGGCACCTCGTACCGAAGAAGAATGCGCGCGCAGCCGAAACAAAGTCACGGGGCATGGCGGGCATGGACGTCCAAGCGATGGCGAGGTGTAGACCTCCAGGCCCACTCCAGGAGGGCCTGTGTACCAGTGCAGGGCCCATGTTGGGCCCGGCTTCTCGAGCGTGTAGTCAGATGTAGCTCAGGCCCGCGGATTGCCTCCGACCTGGGAGTGGAGCCCCCATGGGTCCGATGTTGTCCCATCCATGGCCTCTCCTTGGGAGTGTGACCCGTCGGACCAGTCGCTGGTGGTGGTGTATCGTTCGGAGCTCCCCGTCCTGCCCCTCCCCACCGCTCCCGCGGCCCTCTGCCCCACCCTGATGCGCGTCCTCGGTCGCGCCGCTGGGGCGGGAGGCTCCTCGGTGCACGCTGCCGAGGCTGCCCGTCCTCGTGCTCCTAGGGCTGCCTGCTCCTGCTCCTGCCCCCGCCTCTTGGCCCGCTCGCGGCGGCACAGAGGGAGTCACAGCCGAGCGAGCTGGCTTCCTGGGAGACGGGCACGTAGACTGCCCGCCGATCAGCGCATGCTCCTCGAGGAAGCGCGGCCGTGGGCCAAGGCGCGCAGATCAGCGGCGGGTGCCGATTCCGTACCGCATCGGCGCGTTCCGTCGCGTGGGGGCGGGGCGGGAGCAGCAGCCAGCCAGGGAGTTTTTGAGCAGGATTCGGAGCCCGTGGGTGTGGGGAACCAGTCCAGGGGTCGTTTCAATTCCTCCGATTCGATCCGATTCGATTTCGATGGCCTCCGATTCCGATTCGATTCGACTTCGACTTCCTATCTGTGCTCTGGTTTCTCCATGGAGGCTGGCTAGCCTGCCGAGTTCTGCCGATTCGATTTCTTCCGACTTGGCTGCTGATTTCCGCCGATCGGATTCACTTCGATCGCCGATCCGACTCATCGATTGGATCCTGTGCTCTCGAGCCAGGCGTCAGAGTCTAGGCTTACCCAGCGCCCTGTCGGCCCTGACATTGAGTCTGCTCGTGGTCAGGATTTTGCCCCGGCGATTGAAGCGACGGGGGCGGGTCGTGGTCACGGTCGTCAGGGGCGAAGGGTCGGGGAGAATTTGAGTTGCGTGCATGATCCTTTCGAGGATGGGCCCCCCCTCACGGCGCACGTAGCGGCGCACTATGGGAGCGCTCAGCGGGGCAGCACGGGGGTTCTGCCCGACCGTGGCGCCAGCATTCCAAGAAACGCATTCGTTCTCACCACTCGGTGATGTTTATCAGCCATCGTTGCATTCCCAGGCGTTTCAAGAGCTTCCAAACGTAGATGAGTACAAGCGCTGCCTCATGCTGATCATGATTATGATTATCCTCCTCCTCCTTCTCTTCCTTCGGGCCGGGACAAACAAGGAGGACGATAATCGGGGAAAGGGGAGGAAGAGGAGGAGGAGGAGGAGGAGGAGGAGGAGGAGGACCAGTGTAAACCCAAGACGCGTCAACGATGCTGCAATCAACCCTCCCTCCAAGCCCCCTCTTCACGGGTCCCGAACAAACATGTTTCCATTCGGGGATGTGGCCAATCAACTTACAATTGTCTGAGAATCTTCAATTGTGCCCAAACTGAGCTCCTCGGACTTCAACGCCGCAGATCAACGTAACTGTTGCGCCCTGACGTTCCTATTCTCGCGCCTAGACACCATGTTCCGGTTTTTCAACTCAGCAATTCAACGTTACTGCTGCGTTTTGTCAAGGCTGCACTGTTCCAACGCACCCGTCCTGGGATTTCGACCACACGAATCTTCAAAACTGTTGTCAGAGTTTGGGAAGAATACGCGCGGCGCTGAGGCGAGAGCCACGGTTTGAAGAGGAAACCGCCGTTCATTGTGAAGTTGTTACGAACTTGTTAGACGAGCATGCGCGGCGCTAAAGCGAGAGCCACATTGTGGAAAGGAGCCGCCCTCCATTTTGGAAGCGGTCGCAAATTTCGACCGAACACGAGACGACACCGCCCCACCTGCGCCACGACGGTGTTGGAATGCTAAGCACTTGCCCCGTGCGGCCCCGGCTTGTTACCACGACGACCCCGCAGTGGCGTCGGGGGGCCGCCGCGCCACGCCGGCGTCGAACGCCGCCTTGGTACCGTTCGCAGCGGCAGCGACATAGGGCCCCACGCGCTGGCCACGCGAGATTTCCAGTGAAGGCAAGGGGGGGAGCCGTAGCGTATACCTCTTGTCAGCCCTGCATTTTTCCTGGTGTACGCTGCGGCCCTGCAGTGGCCGTGGCGTATACCACGGTTGTTGAACACTATTACTTCTAAAGAATTATTATTGTTGGACCCCCTGGTGCACGCCCCCCGCCCAAAACCTAGGCCGCAGCTACATTTTCATCATTTTTCTGCGAAAGCTTCAGAAAAGTGGATTACCCCCGGATCCGGTTTTTTGTTGACGCTCGTTTTCCCTTGCAAAAAACAATAGAAAATGAAAATTCTTGTTCTTAGTTGATCAAATTTCAAGAATCCCTTGCAAAAAATAAGGTAAAGTGGACATTCGCGCTCGCAAGACGAAATCCTTCCAAAACCTTAGGTTTCGTAGCGATTTTAACATAAAAACATCAAAAACCCAATGGTTTTTTAAGAAAAAATTGTCAAAATGTCCTTCCGCGCGCTCTTGCGGATTCATAGGAAACACACCACTTTTTAAACATTTCTGTCAAAAGGGTCTTTGCGTGCTACTTCTTCAGGTGCTTTGAACTTCTCCAACAACGGTTGCGCGCCTGCGAGGGCCACCATCCCTTGCAAAAAATGAGACGAAGTGCACATGCGCGCGGCCGCCGCGCGCGCATGTCGAAATCCTGCCAAACACAATGGGTTTTCAATAATTTCAAGATGCGATGTTCAGAAAACATATGAAAACGCACCACCGTGTACCGTGTACCACATCATATGTAACAGATGTGATCAACCTCTGTGGGTGTGTACCCCGCGCCAGTGTAGTAGCCAGGGTCGTCCGCACGCCACGAAGTGAAGTGTCCCAACGTCATAGGGCGGGAAGCTGGGTGTGGGTGGTCTCGAAGAGTCGTTTGGATATTTGGTAGAGCTTGAACGGCCCCCCCACGAAGTGGGGGTATTGGCTGGTGTCGCAAGAAAACCCTGGCACTGGGGAGAACACTGAGCGTTCGGGTAAAATGATTGTTGTTGTTGTTGTTGTGGTTGTTGAACATTATTAATTCTAAAGAATAATTATTGTTGGGCCCCCTGGTGCACGCCCCCCCCCCCGCGCCTAGGCCGCAGCCACATTTTCATCATTTTCGTGAGGAAGTCTCAGGTAAAACG